TATAGTATACTAGTATAGTATACTTTTCGAGTATTTAATAGATGATGTAGTATACTAGTATAGTATACTTTTCGAGTATTTCGATGTCGCGTGTGACGAGCGATTCTGCCGTAAAATTCCCTACCACTTTAGTACACTTAACCTCCCTACTTTGGTCTAACAATATTTTGAATATCCACTTACGTCGAATTTGTATTATTTACATTTGCATAAGTGAGGACGACAAGGGTTAAATAGAGCACTCTTTCAACTGTGTCGGAGTCACAGAAGAAGGGATCGCACGTACTCTCAACGTGACCTGAATTTCGATAAGGCACTGTTACTAGTCAAACACGACTCAAAACGGGTGAATTTTTACTATTTCTTCTCTCCCCTCTCCCCCTCCCCCCTGTTTTCTTCCAATTCTAATATTTTCAATTCAAAATTGAAAAGTTCGTGCAAAGCTTTTAGAAAGAACTCGTAAAACACGAAAGTTTGATAGTTTTAGTTTTTCGTAATTCGCGCGACGATTGTATTTTCAGTGTGTGTTATTGAAAAATTTGCGCGAAACAGGTCGAGTTACTGCCGAATAGTCGCGACTGTTGTTGCTGGCAATTAGTCTGAAACAATTCAATGACGGACGTGACGGACAGACGACGAGTAATCTCATCAGATAAGAGGGGAATTTTCTTTAAAGTCCAGATGCTTCTCCGACTGAAATTAAATTAGAATTGCTTCGATTAAATTAATTCTCAGAAATGGCCTCGTTGTTGGCGAACACTGCTTCTGTATTATTAATCGCATAACATTGTACTGTGCGTTGTGTTTGAGAAAAATCTAATTCCAGTCCGTCTAATGGCCCTATTTTTAGAGCCGAAGAAGAGAAACCCGGTGCCAGTGACGCGTCAGTCAAAGAAATCCAAATTTAAAATCCGAATCGAATATATTCTCGCTCCATGAGAAGGACGGGATGATGTTAGTTTGGATAATAATTGAAGCTTCGCGTGTCCGGATTGTCGAAGGTGCTGTTTAGCCGTACGTGATTGTGCGTACGACTTGCATTGCGATTTATCTTCACTCGAATCACTAGACGTTCCCTGGAATTGTTATCCCCTGGCATTTGTGACAATGTAACACGAGTTAACGATAATGATCGTATTGGAAATTTGAAAGCACACACTTTGGTGCATTGGATAACGAGCTAGCTATTATTGCATTGAACGGAACCATCGTTTTTCAGATCGACGGCTGGTGAAGAGAGAAACTCGCTGTACTTCGGCGCTGTACCAGGTCGCGAAGAACTTTTGGGAGATTAATATGCCAGATACGTGACATCGAACGAATAGCTTTTGTACAAAATATTCGAGAATGAATTCTAGATATACACGGCGTACGAAGATGTATTTACTGATACAATCGTTTGTATATGCAACTTTATGCGAAGAATGAAGCCGAAGTATTGGGGAAAAGATTGAATTGAAATTATTCGCGATACGAGCGAAGTTGATTCGAAACAGTGAAAGAAACGTTCCGAGTTTTTTCAACGATCGTTGGTGGACGCGTTACGCATGATGCTTCAAGAGATGGAGATCACTCTCGATAAAATGGTGAAAAATTTTACAAACACCTCGCAGAACAACGAAACATTCGTCGAAGATCTCGATTATAGCTTCGATCGGCAACAAGTGGAGAGAATAGTGGTGGTCGTGGTGCCGATATTTTTTGGCATGATCGGTATACTCGGCCTCGTTGGCAATTCACTGGTCGTCATCGTGGTCGCCGCGAATCCCGGCATGAGGTCCACCACCAACATCCTGATTATCAATCTGGCCGTGGCGGACCTATTGTTCGTCATTTTTTGTATCCCCTTCACCGCTACTGATTTCGTGCTACCGTTCTGGCCGTTTGGCAACTTTTGGTGCAAGATGGTTCAGTATCTCATCATCGTCACTGCCTACGCCAGTGTTTACACTCTAGTCCTCATGAGCCTTGACAGGTGAGTAAGTTCGAGCTCGAAAAGTTGTGAGAAAATCATTAAAATCATCAAAGTTTTTATTCAAATTTTGGCCAAAGTAGAGAAAAGAAAATTGGTCTAGGCTCTCGAAATTACCGAAATTCCTCCTTGCCGAAGAGCAATTTCACCGATGTATATGGAAAGGCAGAAATGTAAAGTGCACTTGATCATGCACAGATATTCGATTCTGCACAATGAAATTCGATTTTGCAACACATCCGTCCGTAAATATCGACGAATATGTATTCCCAGTTACACTTCGAGCATACAGTATAATATACGCGCATAGCATACCGTGTGTCACGTGCGCTGTGTCTAGAAACGTGCAAAAGAATCTCGACGTTTCTCTCGAAATGTACGATACGTTCGTTTTCTATATTTCTCAGTGGTTCCTTCTTTTTTTTTTTTTTTTTTTTTTTGCGAGTACGTTACGCGATCAGGTTTCTGAAATTTTTCAATTTCGTTCCCCGCCGGATGTCCTCGTCTCTTGCGTTACGAATTGCATTTTCGTGGTTTCCAATAATCGCAAGGTAAACGTGATCGAATAATTTCTACGATCGACGGAGTCGAAAAA